CTTCTGCCTCAGCCTCCTGAGTAGCTGGGATTACAGGTGTGTGCCACCACACCTGGCTAATTTTTGTATTTTTAGTAGAGATGGGGTTTCACCATGTTGGCCAGGATGATTTTGATCTCCTGACCTCGTGATCCACCTGACTTGGCCTCCCAAAGTGCTGAGATTACAGGTGTGAGCCACTGCACCTAGCCCTCCAAATATTTTTAATTCAGCCTTAATTAATATTAAATTTAAAATGATATAATTATTTTTAGTAGGAACCTTTAGAGAGATTTGAGAAGTTATCTAAAATTATTTTTGAAAATTAGCCTTTTTTAGAGAAAAAGTTTGTGAAATTTAGATATAGTTTCTATAAATATATAAATTAAAACTGTACTCATTTTATATTTTGGCATCACAATGGAAATGGAAAATAGATAGTGGTTGGTTGTCAGGGGTTAGGGAGAGAAGGAAGTGGGCAGTGACTGGTTTTATTTTTCTTTTTGGGGTGATGAAAATGTCCTGGAATTAGATAGTGATGATGGTTGCCTAACTTTGTGAATATACTAAAAACCACTAATTGTACACTTTTAAAAGGCGACTTTGATGGCATGTGAGTTTTAGCTCAGTTAAAAAATGGTGCTGAAACAAAGATTCAAAACCATGTTAGTTTTCTATTTCTAACCTAACAAATTAATACAAATTTAGCAGCTTAAAATAGCATCCATTTAATATCCCACAGGTTCTGTGCATCAGAACCACTACAGGGTGGTTCAGCTAGGTCTCTGCTTAGAGTCTCACAAGGCCGATCAAGGTGGCAGCAGGACTACATTCCTTTCTAGAGGCTCTAGGGGAATATCTGTTTACAGGCGCATTCAGGTTGTTGGCAGAATTCAGTTGCATGTGGCTATAGAACTGAGGTTCCCCATTTCCTTGCTGGCTCTCTCTCTCTACCTCTTAGTATCATCCTGGTAGTAAATGCCATTAATGTATTTGACAAGAAGTCTGTCATTAGCATGCTTCCCAGGAGATTTGATTAGATTGTCTTTCTGGAAGTGACTAACTGAGGGGAGAAAATCAATTGCAAACCTGCTGTTAATGTTTCCTTCCCAGGTTTATGTCTCTTAGAGTCCTTTCCTGAAATGTGGAAATAAATTTGATCATCTCCAAATATCTTTAAATCAGCCTATTATCTGTAGAAGCTCCCCGTTTTTATTCTTGATTTGTTAAAATAAAAACTAGATAATTTGTCCTGTACCATATTCTAGATTTGTCAGATCATTTCTTCATTTAGTGTCATTTAGCTTGTTTCTCTTTTTTTCCCCCTGTAAGTCGGTCATTAATCTGTGCTCATTGAGGTAGAGAGGTTTAAATAGATTGAGGGTCAGATTTTCTTTTTTAAAATTTTTTATTTTTTGAGACAGCATCTCACTCCATCGCCCAGGCTGGAGTACAGTGGCATGGTCTCGGCTCACTGCAACCTCCGCCTCCCAGGTTCAAGCCATTCTCCTGCCTCAGCCTCCTGAGTAGCTGGGACTACAGGCGCCTGGCACCTTGCCTGACTAATTTTTGTGTTTTTAGTAGAGATGGGGTTTCATCATGTTGGCCAGGCTAGTCTCAAACTTCTGACCTCAAGTGATCTTCCCACCTCGGCCTCCCAAAGTGCAGGTATTACAGGCATGAGCCACTGTGCCTGCCGTCAAATTTTCTTAGAAATGATCTTTCATAATTATTGTGTACTTCTCTGTTGTGCTGTGCCATGTGACACATACGTCTGCTCATTTTACTTTTAGGGATGGGGAGATTGAGTTTGGATCATGTCACACCCTCTATCAAGTATTCCCATCAACCCATCAGCTTTTTGCTGTGTTAGCATTTACTAACTTTGCCTAGAGTTATTATTAGGGATTGCCAAATGGTGTCTTTCTAATTCTACCATTTGTAGATTAGTTTTTCGAAAGTTATGTATGTAGGCATAAATGTTTTGTATTTGTTTTAGTTACTGTAGACAGTTTTATTTGGGATGAGATTAAGATTCTTAAATTTATTTTCTTTGCTATGCCTGTGAGGAAAGCCAGGGACAAATAGCATTAAATTTTTCTTATACAGGCAAAATTGTGTCAAGAGGGTGCAAATGATTTAGTTAGAAACTTTCTTTTCTGAGATAACAAGCTAGTGACTTTCATAAAGTAATGAAACAAGTATAGCTTGTTTCATGTACTTTGTTTTTCATTCTGTGTGGTTTCTTTTACTTGCCTGATTTTTTTATAGTTTCCTTTAAAAGTGATTTATACTGTTGATAATTAACATATTTGTTATTCTTTACTTTTAGATTCGAATGAAAGGATCCCTTCCTTCATTGAGTCCTTTTCCTCAGTCATTACTTAATTACTGTAAAGGAGATATCACATTCTTTAGACCTGGAGCAGCTGGAGATCACAAGCTTGATGAAGCTTCCATTAGAGCAATAGGTTTGTCCAAAATGAACTGCTTGCTTAGACATTAGGCCTAAGTATGAATAATGGAGGATTTTTCATTTGATTTGGGAAAGTAACTACTGACTCTTCAAAGTACAGTATATTGTACTTTAACAGCTATGTATATACATATATGGTATATATGATAGTAAGTCAGAAATTTATTATATAAACAAATTGTGATACCTTTCTTTATTTAATTGATTTTTTTTTTTTTTTGAGACAGTGTCTGGCTCTGTTGCCTGGGCTGGAGTGCAGTGGCATGATCTCAGCTCACTGCAGAACAACTCCTGGGCTCAATCCATCTTTCCAACTCAGCCTCCTGAGTAGCTGGGACAACAGGTGCACACCACCACATCCGGCTAATTTTTGTACTTTTTGTAGAGACAGGGTTTTGCCATGTTCCCTGGCTGGTCTTGAACTCCTCTGCTCAAGCAGCCTGCCCGCCTTGACCTTCCAAAGTGTTGAGATTACAGGCATGAGCCATCGCACTTGACCTAAATTAATTCCTTATTCATGGTCTGTGTCCAGTTATTTGCATAACAAGTTCAAAAAGTAAAACTTTAGATATCATTTCATTCTTTTCTTCTTAATCTTTAGTCCTTATCAGTTCTATTTATATTAAGCCCTGATCTTATCTTTAGAATTTAATTAAAATGTTTACTTTTGAGCTGGGCACACAGTGGTGTAATCCCAGGTACTTGGGAGGCCGAGGTGGGAGGCTGCTTGACCCTAGGAGTTTAAGGCTATTGTGTGCAATGATTGCACCTGTGAATAGCCACCACACTCCAGCCTGGGCAACATAGTGAGACCCTGTCTCTAAAAAAAAAAAAAAAGTTTATTCTTAACTCACTCACCCTTGGTACAATCTTACATGTCCTAGGGTTCAGATTGTCTGTGTTTCCAACTCTAATAGCATTGAAATGCTTCCTGATTTCTTCTCTCAGCTGTCATGAGCTTAGTTTCATAGACTCTTCATTCCCTGTAACAAGAAAGGACCAGGCACAGGTGTCATCTGGAAAAGTATGTCCAAACTCATTTCATTTCTAGGTCTGTAAGAAGTGAGTTAAATTCACAATAATCCCAGGTAAAAGATATTTGCTCATAAATAGGGACATAGTCCTTTGACGTGATTTAAATAAAGATTTGAACATGTATTTTTAATATTTTCATTTTGATCCTAGGTTCTATTTAATTATTCTTTTGCTTGATTTGGTCTCTTTATTGTTGAGAAATGATTTTGGTAGATTAAAAATATTCCTTTCTGGCCAGTTGCAGTGGCTTATGCCTATAAACCCAGGCTGAGGTGGGAGGATTTCTTGCTCCCAGGAATTTTAGGCTGCAATGAGCTATGATTCTGCTGCTGATCTCCAGCCTGGGCGGCAGATCAAGACCCTGTTTCTTTAAAAAAAAAAAAAAAAAACAAGGTTCCTTTCCTGTTTTGTTACCTAAAATAGTAGATTTCAAACTCTTAATTTTATATATTTATTTGTTTTTGAGACCGAGTCTCATTCTGTCACTTGGCTGCAGTGCAGTGGCACAATTTTGGCTCACCGAAATTGTAAGCCAAATTTTTTTATCTACCGAAATCATTTCTCAACAATCAAGAGGCCAAATCAAGCGATCTCTACCTCCTGGATCCAAGCGATTCTCCTGACTCAGTCTTCCAAGTAGCTGGGACTACAGGCGCCTGTCCCTGCACCCGGCTAACTTTTGTGTTTTTAGTAGATACAGGGTTTTGCCATGTTGGCTGAGCCAGTAACTCCTGACCTCAGGTAATCCATCTGCCTCGGCCTCCCACAGTGCTGGGATTACAGGCGTGAGCCACCATGCCTGGCCTAGGATTTCAAACTTTTTTGAAGTTTTTTACTATGAAAAATTTGAACCAAAGTAGAGATTTATGAACACTTGAGTACCTCTCACCCACCTGCAACAATTGTCAACATATGAAAGCAAATCTGAATATATCATAAGTGCCATAAGTACTTCAGTATGTGTAGTGAACATATGAGGTATTTTTAAAAACCACAATTCTATTATGACTGACAAAATTTACAATCTTTAATATTATATAGTCAGGCCTGCTTAATGATGGAGATGCGTCCTAAGAAATGTGTCATTAGACAATTTTGTTGTGTGATCATAGGATATACTTACACAAAAGTAGCCTAGTATACACTGAGGCTATGTGATATGGCCTTTTGCTTCTAGACTACAAATCTTTACAAGAGGATTGCTTGAGCCTAGGAATTCAAGGCTATTGTGTGCAAATGATTGCACCTGTGAATAGCCACTGCACTCCAGCCTAGACAATGTAGTGAGACCCTGTCTCTAAAAAGAAAAAAGTATTGCCATACTAAATACAGCAGTACTGAATACAGAATGTGACTATGCTGAATACTTTAGGCAATTGTAACACAATGGTATTTGTATATATAAACATATCTAAACATGGAAAAGGTACAGTAAAAATACAGTATAAAAGTTTAAAAAAATGGTAAGTATAGGACACTTACCATGAATGGAACTTACAGGATTGGAAGTTTTTGCTCCAGGGGAGTCAGTGAGTGGGTGGTGGGTTAATTTGAAGGCCTAGGACATTACTGTATAGTACTGTAGACTTTATAAACACTGTACACTTAGACTATACTATATTTATTAAAAATATATTTTTTTCTTCCGTAATAAATTAACCATAGCTTATTGTAACATTTTTACTTTATGAACTTAAAAAAATTTAAAATGTTTTTGACTCTTGTAATTATATTTGGCTTAAGAGACATACAATTGTACAAAAACTATTTTTTTTTTTTAAATTAGAGATGCTGGAGTACAGTGGCATAATCATAGTTCACTGTAACTTCAAAGTCCTGGGCTCAAAGGATTCTCCAACCTCAGCCCTTTGAGTACTGGGACTACAGACTTGAACCACTGTACTAGCTAATTTATTTTTTATTTTTTGTATAGGTGGGGTCTCTGTTGTCCAGGCTGGAGTGCAGTGGGGCCATCAAGATGGCTCACTGCAGCCTCCGCCGTCCGGGTTCAAGCACTTCTCCTGCCTTAGCCTCCTAAGTAGCTGGGGCAACAGGCATGCACCACCATATTTTGTATTTTCAGTAGAGATGGGGTTTCACCATGTTGCCCAGGCTGGTCTTGCCCTCCTGAGCTCAAGCAATCTGCTTGCCTCTGCCTCCCAAAGTGTGAGTTTACAGGTGTGAGCCACTGCACCAGGCCACAAGGCGCTCTTGATATATTCTATTGTATTCTATTTTTAAGAGATGATTGAGACCACTTAGTTGATTATATAGCCTAGTAATTAATAATAGATTGTAATCTACGTTCTGAAAAACACAGATGAGGGATGTTTCTAGATAAGTCACTGTTTAGTGTGTTGTTGCATTGTATCTTGCTAGTTCTTGGCCTTAGTTCTATCCCAGCTTGCCTGTGAAATATGAAATAATGAAACACATCTGTCAGTAATGATGCCTTTCTCAAAAGATTGGGCCGTGCTCTCCTGACAGAATCTATGAGAATCTGATGTGTGGGGTGGGCTGTATTGTGAAAATGCTCATTGGAGACCCTGGTAGTCCCCCTGGAGCCATGTACCTACCATCCTCTCTCACTATTGGGATGAATAGAATGTGTAGAAGACCTGCTTTCTGCTCACTTTCCATAATGTCAAACTGTACTTTTTGGCTTTGTAATACTTATTTTAAAAAAACATATTAACTAGCTCCCTAAAGAAAATGAAAATACTGACTAATATAAAAGTCAGATTATTGCAAAGATAAGGCTTATTTAAAAAATTAAGGCGTAGACTAGGCACAGTGGCTGATGCCTGTAATCCCAGCACTTTGGGAGGCTGAAGCAGGTGGATTACCTGAGGTCAGAAGTTTGAGTGCAGCCTTGCCAACATGGTGAAACCCTGTCTCTACTAAAAATACAAAATTAGCTGGGTATTGTGGCATATGCCTGTAGTCCCAGCTACTTGGGAGGCTGAGATGGGAGAATCACTTCAACTTTGGAGGTGGAGGCTCTAGTGAGCCAAAATCATGCCACTGCACTCCAACTTGGGCAAGACAGAACAAGACTCTGTCTTGAAGATAAATAAATAACAGTAAATAAATAATTAAGGCATAAATGAATGAAATTAAATTTTAGAGTATTATCTTTCTTCTTCCAAAGGAAAAGTTCCTAGTTTTTTATTTTTCCAGAGACAGGGTTTTGCTGTTGTGCTGCTAGAAACTCACGTGTGCAAGTGTCTTAAACATGCATTTACAAGTGTCTTTTGTATGATGATTTCTTTTCCTCTGGGTAAATACCCAGTAGTGAGAATTTTGATTCAAATGGTAGGTCTACTTTTAATTCTTCAAGGAATTTTCACACAGTTTTCCATAGTGGTTGTACTACTTTACATTTTCACCAGCAGTGTAAAAGTGTTCCCTTTTTACCCATCCATGCCAACATGGAGGCTGGTCTCAAACTCCTGGGCTCAAATGATCCTCCTACCTCAGGTTTCCAAGTAGCTGGGAGACAAGGTCTTGCTCTGTCTACAGAGCCTACACCACCCAGTTGAAAAGGTCCTATTAACCATAGAACAGTAAGGAGAGGGATAGTTTTCACTTAATTGGTCACATGTTAACTATAATAGAAATTTGAGATTAGCAGAAGAGTGGAAACTTGTTTTGATAGCTGGATTGAGCCTATGCGTTGTGTATAGTTAAATCCTGATGCTCCATGCAATGGAACACTGTATTGGCAATAAAAAACTTAGTGTGTTTATATTACCACATGAAAAGGTATCTAAGATATTGTAGGTGAGAAAAAGCTAGTTGCAAAGCGGCATACATAGTATGATTTTATAACTTTGTGCACTTGTATTGCTTTTAATAAAACATTATATTCTATTGGAAATCATGGTTTTAGTATTGAAAATGTTTAAACATAAATGAATATCAATAAGTGATTTTTAAGTCAATCTCCATAACTTTTATATAAATTTAAAATGAACATGTGTTCATTTTATAATTAACAAAATAGATTTATTTTGGAAAAAAAATGGTCAGCAGAGGTGGATTTGTTAAAATATTAATGTACATACTCATACAATTTTCTTTCATATTTGTGTTCTTGCTTTAGGTAGCTTCAGAGAACTTTGTGCTTTGTGTTGGATTCTGCATGTCCGTGATAAGTTATCCTATAATTGCAGGCAATATCAGAAAGCAAGAGAAAATGTAAAGGGAGAAAAGGTATTTACCAGGACAAAAATAAGAAAAATGAACACGTTAGTTGGGAAATTATTGTTTAAAAGATTTTATATTTGTAGCAAAACTTTATTTTGAACTCATTCTTGTCTATCATCTAAAGTAAAAAGGAAATTAATGTTTTCAATATCCTTTTAGGACCTCAAAGTGGAGTTTGATTCTTGTATGGTTGAGCACTGTCTTAGTGCGGTGGAATGGGCTTATAGAATGCTACCTTTCTCTCGGTTTTTTAATATGGAAGAACTTATTCAGGATATAATTTTGAGCCTTATTGGAGAACTGCCACCAATTAGAAAGGTAATGTGCTTGTAGGTGAAAGTAAACTAAATCAGAATCAGGGACTTTAAAAGATTTTTATTTAATTTTAATTAAGGTTGATGTTGCTTTTCTTTGGGTTATTTCACTTAGCATAATATCTTCTGGATTCAGAAAGATAAATACTGTAGGACCTCACTTACGTGTGGAATATAAAAGTTGTAAACTCACGGAAGCATAGTATGGAATGGTGGTTGCCAGAGGCTGGGGATGTGGTGAAAATGGGGAGATGTTGATCAAGGGGTATAAATTTTCAGTTATGAGATGAATAAGTTCTAGGGATCTAATGTACATTGTAGTGACTGTAGTTAATTGTAGTGTATTGTTTACCTGAAATTTGATAAAGGAGGATATTTTAAGTGTCCTCACTCTACACACACACACACACACACACACACACACACACACACGTAACTGTGTGTATTGATGTATGTGCTAATTAATTTGACTATGGAAATCAGCACAGAATGTATATGTATATTAAATCATAACATTGTACACCTTGAATATACACAGTTTTTGTCAATTACATATTTTAAAATAAAAAAGTAGGTTGATATTAAACTTCTGTTAGCAGACTCATGCTCAGAGAGAAGTTTTGACCTGACCTCGAAAGATTAGTAAGAAATATGCATTTATATTTTGAGTTAAAATACTTGTGAAATGAAGAAAAAAATGATTTTTCTCATAAAACTTAACATTTGTTTTTTCTGAAGGTAGCAGAAATTTTCGTGAAAGCATTTCCCTGTCCTGAAGATGTGAGGGTTCCCTTAAGAGACAAATATCACTCTCTTCACCAGAGACTCAGACACTGTGTTGTGAAAGGTATTATTTGCTGTTTCTCAGATAGCTAATTGATAAATTGCAGAAGATTTGCCTTTTTGTTTTGAAAATATTTGTTTTCTGTTGCTTATATGTCTGTGCAGTTCTGCCTCTTCCTAGAGATGAGTGTGAGAAAGTAGAAACATTTCTCCATTACAGAAAAACGAATTCTCTTGCTTTGGAACCAGGTGACACTGACTTCGTTTCATGGCGCTGTCAGTCAGTAACTGTATGACCTTAGGCAAGTTGCTCAGTCTCTCTGAGCCTCATATCTTTATTCGTAAAGTGGGCATAATGCTACCTGCTTTATTATGTATATTGAGAGAGGATTAAATAAGATAATGTAAAATGAGCATATAGTGCTTTGTATATTGCACGTATTTGTTGAAAACTAGCAGTTTTTCTTTCCCCTTATGGTTATTTATGCTTCTAATTTTCTTCTTCAGAATTAGAATACACACATTTTTTATTGTGATAAAATATATATAATATAAAATTTACCATTTTAGCCATTTAAAATATACAATTCAGTGACATTAAGTACATTTACAATGTTGCAGAATTTTTAAAGAGTTCCAATTACCCTGCTTTTTAGAACTATAATTCAGGATTTAAGTCCAATTATGTCCAGTGATTTCATATTATGGCATTACTATATTGTATTTGTGATTTATAGTTTTCTGAATACTTTTTTTGACATCCTCTAAAATATTCTGTTTATGTATTTTTTTTTTTTGAAGTGTCAAGGTAAGTATTCATATTTTATTCTTTTTTTTTTCCCATTTATTTATTTTATTGCATTTTAGGTTTTAGGGTACATGTGAAGAACATGCAAAATTGTTGCATAGGTACACACGTGGCAGTGCGATCTGTTTATGTATTAAGTAATGTTTTAAAATTTTTCTGTAGGCAGTCTTGAAAACCTTCCCTTGCTATTGTTTCTTATTACTTGTAGTAAGAAAAGTGTCCTTGATTTTTTTGGCTAGAATCATACTCCTCTACTCTGTGAGAATGGAAAAAAATTAGTTATTCTTTTTATTAAATATAATTATCCTTCTGAGTTTTAAAACCATTAAATCACTTAAAGTTTTTTTTCTAGGGCATACTTTTTTTTTCTTCATGAGGCCTAGGTTCTGTTTCTTTT